ATGGTTCCACGGAGGAATCTGCCACTTTCAGACAGTGGTCCCATGGAGGAACTCTGTCGTGCTAATGGTTTCTGCCATTCATTTTCTTCAGGTTATTGCCCTCGTCGCCTGTTATGTGTATGGCAGGTTGGCCTTGGGTAAGAGCTTTCTTCAGGCCCAGGCTCACTCGTCCAGCCCCACCTGGCTTGGCCACCTCACCTCACAGTTGGTGCACCCAATCCCCAAATCACCACCTTCCTCCAGCGTCTTTCCTCTTCCAGCCCCTGTCCTGGATACATCAGCGCCCACCAGGAATCTCAGCGTCACCTTTGGCTGCTTCCTCTCCATTTTCCCCACATATAACTCTCTTCAGGATCCCTCCAGATTCAGCCTCCTGGCCGGCCGCTGTCCTCTCACCGTCTTCATCCATCTTGTCTAATCTCTTCCATGATGTGTCCACCTGTTGTCCCTTATCTGTCTACCGTCCACCACACATCCACCCAGTCAGATCCTTTGTGAATCCTACCACATCCCAGGCACCAGACGCGATCCACTCAAACACACCTGGCACGATCCTTGACCTCCCTGAGCTCAGTCAGGTGGGATGTAGACCAGCAAACAGGTGATCCCTACCTGCGGAGAGGCACGTGGTACTGAGGTGCCTGCCTGTGAGGAAGGGCCTGACCTAGTCGGGGCAGTCAGGGCAGGATTCAAAGAGCAAAAGGCAGCCAGAGCTGAAGACTGGGTGATGGGCCATCCAGTGCCGAATGGGGAGGGGGGTGAGGAGGACCAGAGGCCAGTCTAGGACCGCGGTGAGGGCAGGGATGGCGTGTCTTTACTCATCCTGCCCGTTGCCCGGCAGATCGTGTGTGCTCAGTAAGTATTGACGGAATGAGCCAGGGCAGGAGGGTTTCCTGCAGAGCAAACCGCAGCTAAGAAGGCCCGGGTCGAAAGAGAGCATGGAGACGGGAGGCTGAGAGCCGGGCTCTGCGCCTGGCACTTAGCACAGGGCTGCCCGGAGGCCGGGAGTTCAGGGGCAGGCCGCGCTGCTCCCCACGCCTCGCTGATGGAGTCCAGGCTGCTTAACGATGGTCATTGCTTCCCGTGGCCTCTCATCTCTCCCCTTCTCTGCTCTAACCATAGAGTCCTGCTCACCACTCCCTGTCCCAGCACCCCTGTGTGCGGCCACAGTCCCTTTATTCTCCTCTCTCCCTTCACCTCCTGTCAGTCGTCTATCTGTTAAGGCGCTGCGTCTCCCACTCATACACGTCCTTCTGACCCGGTCAGAACTGGCCCTTCTGTTTCTTTGCTCCCATAGCACTTGTGTGCTGTGCAGTCATTGCCACGTGATCACACTCCACTCCACGGTTATAGCGTTTCACTGTGGGCTGCTCGTCTCTGCAAACAGGATGAGCTCCTTGAGGTCAGAGGGACCAGGTGGTTCTCATCCGTAGGTGCTCCGGCATCATATTAAAACTGTTGTTGTTTTTACCAGCACAATAGTATTTATGATAGTTCTGCTGCATCGAAGTATTGCCTTGTGCCTGGTAGTCCCTCAAGAAGGCATATCTGCTGTTTATAAGTATTCTATGTTTGCCAGATATGCATTATAGATGGCACTTATTTCATTTAATCGGCACAGTGGCCTGATGAAGAGGTGTTTCCAACATTTAACAGAGGAAGCATCAGGTGTGCGGAAGTACACCTGACTCAGGTGTGGGAGATAAACATGACTCAGCTGTGGGGAGGTATACGTGACACTGGGAAGTCCGCACTCCTGAACGCCACCTCTGGGAGTGAACCCAGCTTTGCCCTGTGTAATGCTGGGTTGTACTGTGTAAGGCTGGTTGACGGAGGTGAGATGAAGAAAAGCTGGAGAAGCATGAACAGTGAGGTACACTGATATCCAGTGACAGCCCCAGGGACTCCTTCTGGGTGCCTGGTTTTCTTTGGGAGAGAAACAAGCAGGAAACAGACCTGAGGACAGTGCCGGCTGCACCCAGCGGGCTAAGGACGCCAGAAATAAGGGGCCAGTCCTAGTGTTACACGTGCTCACTTAGGACGCCCGGGAACACAGGTGTCTAACTCACAGGTGCAGTGATTGGCTTGGATGGCGTGTCACCGGCCATTTCACCCTCCTGGTCCTTGTTGTCACCTGAAAGCTGAGGTTGGTGGCATGTCCTCGCTCCTTGCCGGCCCGGCCAGCCTCGCCCGTGGGCACTGAATAGGTCACATGCCTGATTTGCTTTTCCAGTTGCTTTTGAAAACCGGCCATCAGTGAGGGTAGATGAGGGGTGAGGGTGTGTTTTGGGGCTCAGTGCTCCATGCTGACCCACTTCCTGCTGTTCCCACAGGCGGAACCCTCTGCACTTCCACCTCATTGCTGACTCCATCGCCGAGCAGATCCTGGCCTCGCTCTTCCAGACCTGGATGGTGCCCGCCGTGCGCGTGGACTTCTACAACGCGGACGAGCTCAAGGTACGGTGGGGAGGAGGGGTGGTGGCTGCCTCCCAGTCTCTTCGACTAGGAGCTTTTCTTGTTTATGGTTTAGGGGACCTCAGCCATGGCAGAAGTCTCAGCTCCCTTAAAGCAGCCACTTCCTTAGCTCACAGTGTCTGTGGGTCTGAGTAGTTCTGGCCAGCCAGGCTTTCTGTGGAGGCTGCAGGCCATGGGCCTGGTACGTATCTGAAAGAGATCTATATTATGATCTGTTCCCCCATGAGGTAAATAAATGCTGAACTCCGACTACAGTGGACCTGGGCTTGGATTCATGGATTGTCATTCACTAGTCATAGGACCCAAAGTGGATGACCTGTACCTTTGCTGGGTATGTTTTCTCACCTGAAGAAAGGTGCTGCAATGCCAACCCCATGAGGGATTAAGAGGCTCAAACGAGAGGGTGTATGTGAGTGTGTTTTAAAAGACAGCTGAATAAACGTTAAGGATCATGTTGGGCCGGAGGGTTTCAGCCAAATGAGACCCATTCGATCCCATCACTCCCTCCTCGCTTAAAATCCTCCTGTTGCGTCACTGTGCTTGCGTCAGCATCTGGTTAAGAAGTCCTGCATAGTCTGGCTCTGGACGCTCTTGTCATTCCAGCAAATTCACTGTTACTGGTTCTCTCCGCCTTCTCGGCTGTGTTTGAGGCTTTGCTTGTGCTATTCCTTCTGACTGACATGCCCTTCCACTCGCCTTGTCCCCACTCCCTTCGGAACTCAGACACATTGCCACTTCGTCTGAGAACCTTTCCCGGTTTCCCCAGAAAAAAGGACACGTTTTCTCCTCGCTGGTCCGTCCGCTGCTTCCATCTTGAACCTTCTTCGTGGGGGAGGGGACGGGGCCCATCTGGTCCTTTTCCGTCTTGTGGTGCAGAGTTGGAACCCTGTCGTGCTTATGGGTTTAACAAATTGCCGTTGTTAGAGGAAGGTGTAACTTTGCAGAAATACATGATGCTCTGTCTCCAGTCACCTTGGGGAGGACTAAACACCTAGGCATGAGGCTGATTCCAGCAAATTGCTTGTTCCCAACCTCATAAAGCCATTATATTTTCATCTCCGAGCCATAACATTTTAAACAGATCGCAGAGATGCCGGCCAGAGCTGCTGATTTCCCCGCATTTCGGGCTCTGAGGTTGATGGAGACGCTCAGAAGTCAGCGTTGGGGGATTGTCGTGGTAATGTGTGTGCCGTTCCAATCTATTCTGAGCTAAAATTGATTAACACTCTCAAAAAGGGAAAAACAGAATTTAGCAAATTGCTGCACTAATTAAGGTAAAAGCAAGCCGCTCTGTCTCCCGGGTGTGCGGGCCAACACCAAGGGGAAAAGCAGCGGGAGGGGCGGCGGCATCTGGCGAGGAAGGCTGGGCCCGCCTCCTCCTCCTGCGTTCTGCTGTCCCCGGGCATCCTGGGCCGTGTCCCTTGCAAGCCTGTACCCGCTACTGTTTAAACAAATATCTATTTTTATTGATTTCAAAGAGAAAGGGGGAGGAAGAGAGAAATAGAAACATCAATGATGAGAGAGAATTATGGATCATCTGCCTCCCACATAGCCCACACTGTGGGGATGGAGCCAGCCACCTGGGCATGTGCCCTGACCGGGAATCGAACTGTGACCTCCTGGTTCATAGATCGACGCCCAGCCACTGAGCCATGCTAGCTGGGCCTGTACCCTCTACTATTTAAGAAAAGACAAAGTAGCAGAAAACAAAAAGCCCACATTCATCTCCTGGCCTGCCACGGAATAACTCTGATTTGGGTTCTGAGCCGGCTCCATCACCTGTTGGATGGGCTGCCAAGGGAGGGATCAAATAAGATGGCTCATGTGAAGGCCTGGCAGTGCCCAAAGTGCAGCAGGTCCTTAAAAATGCCCCGCTCTCCTTTGCAGCCGAGGCAACATGGGATTAAAAGGCTCTGACTGTGTAGCCCGTTGTGGAATCTGGGGAGAGTTGGGAGGCTGAGGAGTAAGGTGCCAAGTGCTGTCATCAATGGGAACTTCCAGGAGCTCTTGGAGGCAAGGGGTGTGGGAGGGAGGAGATGGGTTTTCTCACTCTCTCCTGCCCCCTGGAGGGCAGGTAGACCTGCTGTTCATTATTTTACTTACTAGACTGTTAGCCACGTGAATTGAGGTCTTAACAAAAAAAAAGAATTGAAAATAACAAACTTAGTGAGTTCTAAAGGACATCCTCTCCAGTGTCCTGTCCTCCAGCATGTACAGGCAGACCTCGTGTTGTTGCACTTCATAGACATTACGCCTTTTACAAATCAAATGCGAGACCCTCCCTCGGCAATAAGATTGCAGCTGGCTTCCCTTCAACACTCGCTGTATTGTGCTGGCCTGGAACGTGACCCAGCTCTCTCCTAGGTCTGCCTGCCCTCGGGGAGCCCCTCCCTGCCTCTGTCATCACACAGGGGTTCCTTTGTCATATGTTGTCATAGGGTCATCAGCATTTCTCAGTAAACTCATGGCGCAGTGTAACCTTTCACTCCTATGTGTGATGAGCAGGTAAAAGCCTCTCTGTCCCCAGGACTGCCAGCGATGTCCCGTTCGCTCCTCAACACCTACGTATCCTTGTGCCTGGTGTGAGGCCTGGCTCATAAAAAGAGATTTGCTAAATGGCCGGGCTGCAGTGACTCAGTGGTTAAGTGTAGACCTATGAACCAGGAGCTCACAGTTCGATTCCTGGCCAGGGCACATGCCCAGGTTGCGGACGCAATTCCCAGGAGTGGGTGTGCAGGAGGCAGCCGATCAATGATTCTCTCACATCATTGATGTTTCTCTCTCTCCCTCTCCCTTTCTCTCTGAAATCAATAAAAAATATATTTTTTAGAAAAAGTTTGCTAAATGAATGATACGCAATAACGCGGGCTGGGTCCCTGAGAGACTCGAGTCATTAGGAAGGAGTTTCTCCATCACTGCCAGGGATCACCGCATCCCGAGGCCACTGGGCAGGGACCCAGCGGAGGCTTAAATAAGGCAGCTGCCCCGGCACCACCCACGTCAAGTCCCCAGCGCAGGCCTGGGACCTGGGACAGGTGCGTGTCTCTCCACAACAGGTACACCAGGGAGGGAGCACAGCGAACCCCATCCCTGAGCTGAGGCTGGGGGAGGAAGAGCAGGGGAGGGGCGGGTGGTGCTGGGACCTTCAGTGCCTTCAGGAAGCGTATTGGGGGGCAGCCTCAGCCATAGGGCTCCTGAAATCCCCTGGGATAGCTGTTGGCAATGGCGTTTCTCAGAAATACCCCTGTGGGCCCCTGATTGTGTCTGTGGTGCAGGAGAATGGAGTGGCAGGGAAAGGAGATTTCAGAAGGATCGGTGCATGATTAAAGATGAGCCGCGGGAAATCCGCAGTGGACCTGTACGCCCGCTAGTCGTTGCGGGCTGTGAGATGCTGGCCCGTCTTCCTCCTGTTTACATGCCTGGTCATTCCCAGCCTCCAAGGCTCCGTACCCACAGGCTGGCAGGACTGAGGGCGTCTTTGTGCTGCGAGCCCACAGCAGAAGGGGCTGCTGTCAGGGGGAGGTCCAGGACGAGAAGGGGGCTGGCTTTCCTGCCTAGCTTTGTGGATGGCAGCATCCAGGACAACCCTGTGGGGCGGAGCGAGAATTTTATTACCTCCCTCCGGGTGATTTATAACCTAAAGCGCAGAGTTGAAGAGCATTTGCCTAAGATCAGGCAGGCGGGTAATAAATGCCAAGGCTGATGGTTGATTCTTCGCTTTCCAAGTGAAGCATTGTGGGACTGGGATTGTATACTTCAGGTCTTGCCGCCATTCGGCCCAGAAAGTCCCCCCACGCCACCCTGGGGTGATGGGGGGAGGCTGTTTCGTGATTCGCTGTCTAGCTGGGGGGCCCTCCTTTTTCCCCCTTCCTCTTAGACCCGATGCCTGCTTGTTCCCAGCAGCAGAGAGCTTGTGAAGTGGAAGGCAGGACTATTTACAGAAAATATTGGTGTTTGACTCTGAAAATTGGCTTCCTGCTCACACTGGTGCCTTTGTGCTGGTCCCCAGGGGGGACTGCAGAGGCCTCCGCGGGTAACTGCGACCTCTGGGCACCCTGCAGGCTGGGGGACCAACTCCTGTTGTTCCTCTCACCAGGGAAGGTGGGCAGACCGCCCCTATCCTGTCTCCTAGGAAGGTGTGCTTTCTGCATGATGGGCATGTCCAGCCAGCAGGGACTCGTGATACCACGGAATCACAGGGTCTCGGGTGGGAAGCAAGCCCAATGCCCACAGCTCCTTTTGGACAAATGAAACCCAGAGGGTTAAGCAAGCCCCCTGAGATCTCACGGTGACTCTTTCCAACACCGTCGTCTTCCAACAATTGGGTTTGGGTTTTAGGATTGCCAGGTCCAGGCCATCCTTCAAACGGACAGCACATACCCTGGGGGTGGGGGTGGGGGTGGGGAAAGGCTGGATCCGTGGGAGGTAGACTTGGCTTGCAGAGAAGCACAGAGGACCTGGGACTGGCTCATGGAGGACACGATCAGCTCTAAGACGCCCTGCAGAGAAGTAAAGTAAGATATGTGTGACCTTTGGGATTGCTTTGCGCATTTTAATAATATTGTAAGACAGATAGTAACGCATGGAGTTTGTCTTTCAAGAGCTGGTCTCTCCTCTGTTGTTGAAGATGAATGCAGTAAGTGAGGTCTTGTGATGAAATGCACGGTGCTTGGCACATGGCAGGCACTCAATGAATTCTATTTCCTCCCCTTCCCCGCTCATGTGTTTGAAGATGGCTGTGATTAACCTCTTAGGTCTCTTCCTAAACCCATCATGTCCATGCACCTTGCCTTCCCCTTCTACAAAGGAGCAAGTGACTCCTGACCTCTCGCCAGAGACTATACATTCGGGGTTGTTTATCTAGAATAATTTATGGACTTGGGCTCTTGCTCCTTCTCTCCTGTTGGGTCTCATGTTTTGCCGGAGGGCTGGCTGAGGTGAAATGCCAGGTTCAAATCTGGAAAAAGTTAGCATCCTCCCGT